GTTCATTGTTGATTATTGTTTTTTTGTTCAGACATCTAAAAGACGAAAAGAAATGGACAAAAACTATAAGAAAATAAGTTTTTTCTGTGACCCATATTTATGAAGCTAGATACGAAAGTGTAACCATAAAAATACATCAGATGACAAGACAAAGAAATCTGGTCAGTTGGAATGAGAGCAAGCTATTTCACTTAGAAAAAGCAAAAAGCAGTATATTGTGGTTTGTGTGCATGTTTATTGCCATGAAATGACTTGACATTTTTTTGAGAACATACAGTTTTGACACAGATTTGTTTTGGACAAACACTATCCAGTTCTCTTGAGGCCTGTTTTTCCTGTGTTCCAGTCACTAATTAATTATTGGTTTCTGTTCTTCCCATGTGTGTGTTTCTTCACTTTTTAATTTTGTTTTCTTGAGTGGGAAAAGAACTCAAAAACCTAAGCAGAGTGGCCGGACTCCTGCGTACATAGTTAAAAGTTCTGGAAAGGAAAATTCCTTTTTTTTCAGTGGTATAATCAAAGGAAATAAATTGCAGGCAAAAGCAGCTTCAGGCAAAAGTGGCAGAGCACAAAAAGCATGAAAGGCATTTTTGCTGTTACTGTTTGTGATTTCATGTGAAGATTGGTTCAAGTCATACCTAGATGCGATTGAAGCACAGTCCAGGGAAGGAGAAGGTGTTTAATTAAAAAAAAAAAAAGGCCTCTGGCATGTTAACTGACACACAGGTCTGCTCTCTAAGACCTGCAGAGATCCTCTTATTCTCAGGACAGCTATTAGACAGAGCCTGCCCTGCTCAGATTGCAATAGGTTAATAATGATACAGGGAATGAGTAGCACTTTGCTGGAGATAATGACACATTAGCTAAAAGAGGGGATTGTTTCATCAATTAAAGTGATCTCTGTGGCAGAGCGGTATCGCTCTGCTCTGCTGAAAGTAAACATCATAGCATCCACAATGTTTGCTGACAGCTGCAGGAAGTGGGGAAAAAAGCCATAGGTCACCATTAGCTCTGGATGGAGTATGGTGCAGCTCCTTATTGCAGAGATGAGTGAAGATACTGGTTTTGTTGTACAGTACTGGATGATCCAAACCTCAGATGCAGCCAAGCCTTTCGTGCTCCACTGATAAAGCTTGCCAGGCTGCTCCTGTGCTTGTGTCTGTGATGTGACTACAGGAGGACAACAAAGTTGTAGGTTTGTGAACAGGATAAACATGTCAAGACAGATAGTCTTATAGAAGATCTCTCCACTGGTATTCCATTAAGGAGGAACAATTTTCACTCCTGTTTGCTCCCCACCAAAACTCATACAGAATGACTATGGAGGGTTACCTTTCTTTCTGCATGAAGTGGAGACCATGGGGGCCAGTTAGATGCCAAAATAACCATTAAACATCTTTGCATCTTTGTAGGTCTATTCTATGCCTAAATTAAACATAGGCTTCACTGACCTTAATCATTGAATGGCAAGAAAACCATATGCAGAGCACGTCAGAATCAAGACCACCAGCAAGATCTCTTAAAGCAAGCTAAGGTTGATCCTTTTCTGAAAGTGCAAGGATATATCAGGATGTGGTTCAGCTGCAAACATTGCCCTTAGGTGTGAGATCAAGCATATTCTGATAAGGGATTCCCAGGCAGCAGGGCTCTGAGACAGCAATGTCTGGTTTCCTGCTAATGAGATAATGAGTTATCACAGAACAAGTGGAGCCCTTCCACTGACATTGCAAGCTTTAGCTCTGGCCCACAGAGCCAGATTTGTGCAGTACTATGAAAGCATCTTAGTTCCTTATCTAATGAGAGAGACTTGCAGCATAGTTATGATTTGATGACAGAGAAGTCCCTAAGAGCAGTATGCTTTGTCCCATATGTTATATTTGTAAAAAAAAAATACTTATTTAGGACCAAACAATTTTATGATTGATTTTTTTCAGTGAGGCAGATATAAATTCTAGTCATTTCATCCATCAAAATTAGAGAGGAACTTCAAAACTCTCAACTGCTACTCTAGTAAAACAAGATTCTCTCTCCTGCCTGCAATATGCTTAAGATCTTGGCAGCAGTTTTTTCAATTGGATAAATAATTTTTCTCATTTTTTCATATCAGCAAAGTGGAGTTTAAAAAGCCCTACAGTCATAGAATCATAGAAGAGTTTGGGTTGAAAGGGACCGTTAAGCTCACCCTAGTTCCAACCCCCTGCTATAGGCAGAGACACCTCCCTCTAGACTAGGTTGTTCAAAGTACCATCCAGCCTGGCCTTGAATGCATCCAGGGAGGGAGGATCCACAACCTCTCTGTGCAGCCTGTTCCAGTGTCTCACTACCTTCACAGTAAAGAATTTTTTCCTAATATCTAGTCTAAAAAATCTACCCTCTTCCAGTTTAAAGCCATTTCCCCTTGTCCTGTCACTACATGCCCTCATAAAAAGTCCCTCCCCAGCTTTCCTCTGTAGGCCCCCTTCAGGTACTGGAAGGCTGCTGTAAGATCCTGTGGCGCCTTCTCTCATCCTGAAGAGCCCCAACCTGACCCTGTAGGGGAGGCACTCCAGCCCTCTGATCATCTTTGTGGCCCTCCTCTAGACCTGCTCCAACAATTCCACATCCTTCCTGTGTTGGGAGCCCTAAACTGGACACAGTACTGCAGGTGGGATCTCATGAGAGCAGAGCAGAGGGGCAGAATCACCTCCCTCAACCTTCTTGATGCATCCCAGGTTACGGTTGGCTTTCTGGATTGCAAGAGCACATTGCTGGTTTATGTTGAGATGTCAGCCAACACTGCACATCCTCCTCAGAGCTGCTCTCAAGCCTTTCTCCACCCAACTTGTGTTTGCTGGATTGCCACAATCCAGGTGCAGGACCTTGCACTTGTCCTTCTTGAACTTCATGATTCATGAGGTTGGCATGGGCCCATCTCTTAAGCCTGTCCACATCCCTTTGGATGGCATCCCTTTCCTCTAGCTTGTAAATCTTTTATAGTGTTTACTACTAGGACCATAAGTGCAGGCTCTTCCTTTTCACACTGACATCTCTTTATTCACTGTCTTGGAGAAGAGAGCCTCAACATTTTGGGATATGCCTTGGGTAACAAGTCTGTTATGTCTTTGTGATGACACTACTCTTTCTGCTGACAGTCCTGGAAACAGCATCCGGTCACACCCCCACATTTGGAGAAATGCTGCAGCTAGTGAAGAAAGTCCCATCTCTCCTTTGCTTTATGTTTCACAAAAGGATAAAACAGTGCATGAACACTTAAGGGGCAGTGGAATTAGGATGTGTTGCTGTGCAGTAAAAATTTCCTCAGCTCTGTGTAGCAAGAAAGAAGACACCTGTGGTTACTGTGTGGGCAGAACTGTTCGTAGTTCTGCTAGACTCTTGGATTGTCTGGTGGTGAACTGGAGAGCAGCTTGACGCAGCCTAACTGCTCTTTAATAAGATTTCATTGCTGTAATTTAGCATAGCAAGCAGAATGAGGTTTTACGTTTGTATCTAATTCCCACTGCCTTCACTGGGAGTTACATACCCACTACTGTGGATGAACTCCTACAGGGTTACAAGAGTTTTCATCAACTGTTCCAAGTCAGATTAGTTCGCCAAATAAATACACACATCCCTTGGATAAATATACACTTCCCTTCCTCTCAAAGCCACCAGCACGTTGACACTTTTATACGAGCATTTACAGAGAAAATGGTACTAGCCCTATAATTGTCCACATAAAAATATATTTAGAGAAGCTGATTATAAAAATATATTTAGAGAAGCTGATTATTATTCAGTGGGAGTTACTAGCAGCAAAGTAGCGGAGAATTACCACAGTATTTCCGTTGCTGAATTAACAATCAAAGAACAGTCATCATCACCATTATTGTTCATCGCAGTTCAAGTGCTCCAAAGCTAGCTTGCTTTCAGGCTTTGTAACAAAAGAACTGGGGCTCTGTTTATTTTCCACTAACAGAGCTTGTGGCACTTTATTCCAACACTTTTCTACCTCAGAAAGCTTGAAGAGGTCATCTTGGTCCATAGAAGGCTGTAGAGAGCAGATGTTAATGAGGAGCAGCTGTGGGAATTGGGGTTATCTACTCTAGAGAAAAGAAGGCTCAGGAGAGCCTTAAAGAAGGTCATAGCAAGTCAGAGGTTGGTCTTTTCTCTCAAGCAGCAAGTGACAACACAAGAGGGAATGACCTGAAGTTGCACCAGAGGAAATTTAGTTCGGATATTAGGAAAAAACTTCTTCACCGAAAGAGTTGTGAAGCTTTGGAACAGGTTGTCCAGGGAAGCAGCTGAGCCACCATTTCTGGAAGTACTGAAAAGATGTGTAGATGTGGTGCTGAGGATGTGGTGTAGTGGTAGGTTAATGGTTGGACTGGATGACCTGAGAAGTCTTTTCCAACTTAAATGCTTCTATGATTCTGTTATTATTTGTTACAGGTTTCATAATTAAAAATGTCAAGTTCTTTTTCTTTGAGAAATACCTACATTTGTCAATGTAAGCTTTTTACTTCAGGGCTAGTGGGCTAATATTTGCTCACCGTCGTTTCAAAAACATTTTATATTCTGTGAGCACCACAACATAAATGCTGTAGGTGTTTATGAGCCATTTGCATGCAATTTATTGACAAGGAAAGATGGAACCTTCAATTTATCAAAATCTTTGAATTGTGTACTAATCATTTCTAAAAGGTGTTAAAAAATTTGGAAATGAAGTGTGAGCCACCAGCTTTTCAGCAGGGAGCTGTCTGGCTGACAGCTGCTACCATCACACCAAATTCATGGCAGCCTCCATTATCCTGTCCTGCAACCAAAGTCATGGCTAATTGCACTGCTTTTTCAGTTATCAATTCCAACTGCTCTTAGTAGAGATGATTATAGCTTAGTAGCTAGCAATTTGTATCACTGTAACATGGCATTGGTACTTTTAAGAACTGCAGCTCTGTTTCTTTGGTTTGTTCTCTAACTAAATTTTTTTCCTATTTTGTTTTTCCTGCTCCTTTTCCCCCCAGGGTGAATGTTCACAGAAGTGCTATGACATCTTTGTGCTGGAGACAGTGTGCGTGGCTTGGTTTTCATTTGAGTTCCTCCTGCGGTCCATCCAGGCAGAGAACAAGTGTGCTTTCCTGAAAACCCCACTCAACATCATCGACATCCTGGCCATCTTGCCTTTCTACATCTCTCTCATTGTGGATATGGCCTCCACAAAAAACAGCAGCAAGCCTGGCGGGGGAGCAGGGAACAAGTACCTGGAGCGAGTGGGCCTGGTGCTGCGCTTCCTGCGGGCCCTGCGCATCTTGTATGTGATGAGACTGGCCAGGCACTCGCTGGGGCTGCAGACTCTGGGGCTCACTGTGCGCCGCTGCACCAGGGAGTTTGGGCTCCTCCTGCTCTTCCTTTGTGTCGCCATGGCCCTCTTCTCACCGCTGGTGTATTTGGCTGAGAGTGAACTGGGAGCCAAGCAAGAATTCACAAGCATCCCTACCAGCTATTGGTGGGCTGTGATCTCCATGACCACTGTTGGCTATGGGGACATGGTGCCTCGTAGCATCCCCGGACAGGTGGTAGCTCTGAGCAGTATCCTGAGCGGTATTTTATTGATGGCCTTCCCAGTCACTTCCATCTTCCATACCTTTTCCCGTTCCTACAGTGAGCTAAAAGAGCAGCAGCAGCGAGCAGCAAGCAGGCAGATGCACCAGCTGGAGGAAAGCACGAAACTCGCAGGTGGCGGCAGTTCCCAGTGGCTCACTGCTGCATCCCCTCCAGATGCTGCCAGGGAGGATGGCCGGCCAGTGCTGGACCAGGAAGCCAAGAGAAGTTGTTCACAGCTAAAGAAGTGAGTTGGCAGCACAAGAAGCAGTGAACATGAGGGGAAGGATCAATCTGCAAGCAGAACCCCCCAAACTGCATATATTAGGGAGAGACACACACGAGATTGTCCCTTAAGAGCAACTTTCAATCTTTGGGGCTCACTGAAAAGTGTCCCTAGAAACTCTACCAAGTACAGCTTTGCTCCATCGCTAACTAGGGAAAGCTCTTTTCTCCTGAGCACCTGTTTTTGTGAGTCCCTGGGGGCAGCCAGCCAAGAGGCCGTAAGGAAGCACAGAGTGTGGCCAGGTGCTGCTGCTGAGCAGTGTGCGTGCCACCTCCTCCCTGCCCCGCCGCTGCCTGTGCAGCTCCTCCCGTGCACCCCACACCCTGAAAGTGTGTTCCAGCAGCCCTGCCAAGGAACCCAAGGAACGCAAACCTCAGACAACCAAAGGGATGAGGAGATGAGAAGGACAGAAGAATCCCTTCAGCTTTCCAAGGGGCTTGGTTTGCTCTGTCTTAGAAATCAGCACTATGGTCTGGGCTGCCAGCCGCCAGCTCCAACTTTTGCTGCTGCTCAGTATGCATTATTTAGTAAATATGCGTATTTACCACAGTAAGCTTTGTATCTTAGCCCCGTGACAGAAATATACATAGACAATCTTCCTGACTATGGTACTGAATGTTAAATTGTTGGGTTCTTTTTCTTTGCTCACTGTAGAATATAACAAATACCTTTAGAAATCACTTTTCTCCACCCTCTTTTAATTCTTTCCGTCTCAAAAACATATTTAACAGATGAATAAGCCTCAAATATATGCAGTCCAAGAAGGGGAGGGCAATATTAAGTCAGCAGTGGCTTCCAGCTCTGCATGATCTTCCCTGGCAGTGCTGTCAGTGATTGCAGCCATGTACAAACAGGGCTGGTCCAAGCGGCAAGAAGTCAGTGTAACTCCTGCAGTGAGCTTCAGCCCGAGGTGAGCACAGCAACTGAGACCTGCATTAGTTGTTCTTTTCTCCTACTAAGAAAAAGACATTCCTCTCATCTAAAAATTAGAATTATTATTCTGGCTGTTCCTCTCAATTTTCAAAAAAAATGCAGTCACTTGAAAGGGAAAATAAATCATACGGTAGCATCCCCATGTTTGCTTACTGATGCCGTTCCTGTTCTGCAGTTCTCTAGTGTGCAGTTTCATGCTCAGAGGTGTTGTGCAGCTGGCCTATGTATGTCAGCACACTGCACGCATCTCAAAGGACTCTTTCTTTCAGGGAGTGGGAGATGGAGCACAGTTGCCTCCTGTGCCTACACCTCTGTTGGTTTTAGCAGAGCTGTAGGACCAACCATGGTGTCACTTCATGTTTGCCTGTTGCCAGGAAGGGAGCTAGAGCAGATGTATTTAAGGTGGGTTTTTTTGGGTTTTATCAGCTTATATTATAATGCCTACCCTACACTAGCAGACTTCTGTACTGAGCCATTCCTTATAGGAATGGAGCAAAGGAAAATAAACGTTACACTTTATTTTAATAAAAATTGGAACCTTTGTTGTCGAACAAGTGCATCTGGCGGTGCTTACGATTCAGGTGATGTGGGAGGTGGTGTTTCTCTGTGTTGGTGTAAAGGCGTGCATCCCAACGTTCAGCCCCAGTCCCCTTCAACAAACCAAACACAGCTGCCTGCATAGGGCTGCCATCTGTGACCTGCCCACTGGGATCTCATCTGCTTGTGCCAGCAGAAGGGCCAGGGGATGCAGGATGCTGCTGGGGCTGACTCAGACTCCTGGCAAATCAATATCAGTAATTACGTTGCTGTGACTCACTGCAGATTTTAAATTTTTTTTAATCCTGACACAGGAATTTCTTGCATTAAGGCTTATTAAGGTTTGGCATCAACACACAGCATTGTGGCTGGCTAAGTGCACACCAGCAAAGTGAAGAGTGCGTGTGGGCATTGCATGGCATGGTGATGGGGAGAGCATTTGTATGCTCCATCTTCAGGTGAGCCCTGATGGATTCAGCAGGCAAACACACATCTGAAAGCATTTCATGGCATTTTATATTCCATGCACATCACATGCTGTTCAAAGCTACACATCTGGCATGAATGCAGTGATCAAGCAGCCCTTTGTAGGGTGCAGAATGCATCTCCCTGGGGTGGTGAGGGCTATGAATCAACAGCAGTATTATCTTACTCTTAAAAGAGCCATCTTAGAGCAGATATTCTTGCAGAATGAAGAGTTTCACGCAGGCACTGCTAACAGATAACCACTAATTAATGCCTTTTTTGAGCCTACAGCATGGAAAAACTGCACTGAGACACCTAACTGCATCTCAGCAGCTTTGTGGAGGATGACACATCATATTATTGCTGTGCTCCATTAAGTTGATATAGCCCTACAGTAGTGAGTTCTTTGTAATTTTAAATGGCATATAATTAATTCCAGCATGCGCAGAGTCTTAATAAAGTGACAAAACCCACTCATTATGTCTGTTAGTCAGGTCTGGCTTTTAATAAAGTTTCATTTTATCGATGACAGATGAGGAAACAAATAGAAACCAGGAACCGTTTAAACAAATTATTTTTGGAAGCCACATAAAGTTCTGATGCACAACATTGCTAGGCATAAAAGATAACCAGAGGACAGCGAGTTCTTCCAGCATGGCTGCTACTGTGAGTGATGCTCACTATTTTGATCAGGAGCTGGAGAATTGTTGGCTTTATGCATGGTTGTCGGTTTTCCTTTGACACGGCACACAAATCACTGAAGGCCATTTGTCTCTTACCAAAATAAATGCTGCGCTGTTGTCTGAATGCATGCCAGTGCCACGAGGTAGCTGTACATTTTTTGTGAAGCACGGTGTAGTGCTTGATGGGCATAGCACATTCTTTTTGCATCAAAGAAAATCAATCTCTTGATGTACAGCACCAAGACTCACTGCACATTGGAGCAAAGCTGCCTCTGCTGGCAGCACTTAGTGATGGTACTTGTGGGGTGGGACATGGGGAGCAGAAAGCCACTGGGCCTGCAGGATGGGAGCACTGTGACCTGAGCTGTGATCAGAGGCTGCAATGCTACACGTGTGCTGGCCAACAGGGCTGGGTAAAACGCTGGGTCTGAAGAATGGAAATGGAAATTGCAAAGTCACAACAGATCAAAAATGTGAAGGTGTACTTACACTAAGGTGCTTTATTTAGTATCTGAATTCTCCCACAAGATCCTTGTTAAGAAACTTCAGAAGTGTAGGATAGATGAGTGGATGGCGAGGTAGATTAAGAACTGGCTGACTGGCAGAGCTCAGAGCTGTCAGCAGCATAGTCTGGTTGGAGGCCTGTAACTAGTGATGTTCCACAGGCACTGATGATGCTGAATCTGGTCTTGTTCAACATCTTCATCAACTACCTGAATGAAAGGATAGAGTCCAGCTTCAGAAAGTTTGCTGATGATACAAAGCAGGGAGGGATGGCTGACACACCTGAAGGCTGTGTGCTGCCACTCAGCAAGACCTGGACAGGCTGGGCAGTAAGAAACCAGAAAAGCTTTAACAAAAGCAAGTGTAGAGTCTTGCACTTGGGGAGGAAATAACTGCATGCATCAGAACAGGTTAGGAGATGACTTCCTAGAGAGGAGCTCTGCAGAGAAGGACCTGGGTGCTCTGGTAGACAACAGGTTGGCCATGAGCCTGCAGTGTGCCCCTGTGGCCAAGAAGGCCAGTAGAATCCTGGGGTGCATTAAAAAGAGCATGGCCAGCTGGTTGAGGGAGGTGATCCACCCTCTATACTTTGTCCTAGTGAGGCCATATTTAGAACACTGTGTCCAGTTCTGGACTCCTCACTTCAAAAAAGACAAGGATCTCCTAGAACAAGTCCAGCAGAGGGCCACAAGGATGAGTAAGGGCTGGGAGTATCTCCAACATGAGGAAAGGCTGAATAAACTGGGTCTGTTCAGCCTGGGGAAAAAAAGATTGAGGGGGGGGATCTGATTAATGTTAATAAATATCTGAAGGGAGGCGGGAGGCCAGGCTCTTCTCAGTGATGTGTAGTGACAGGACAAGGAGCAATGGTCTAAAACTTGAACACAGAACTTCTACACAAACACACAGAAAAGCTTCTTAACAGTAAGGGTGATGGAACAGTGGCGCAGGTCGCCCAGAGAGGCTGTGGAGTCTCCTTCTCTGGAGATATCCAGACTCATCTGGATGCCTACCTGTGCAGCCTATTGTAGGAAGCCTGCTTTAGCAGGAGGGTGGACTTGATCTCTAGAAATCCCTTTCAATCCCTGCAATTCTATGATTCTGTGAATTCTGGCAGCTGCCAACAATAATCATTTGAAAGACTTAAGATGCAGTTACAAACTTGTAAAGGGACAGTGTTGGAGTGGCACAATTTCTGCTGCTCATATGGCACATGCATAGCCAACTCCCACTTCCTAGCAACCTTAATTGAGAAAAATGACTATTTTTCACTGTCATACGTCAACAGGGCCAGAATAGGCAGAGTTTATGGCAGCCTCAAGTAGCCCTACAGAGGCAGAATTCCTATTGCTCTCACAGCATCAGGGTCCTCCAAACTACAACCTTAAGAGTACAAGGCATTGGCACAGAAGAGGGAAGGGGCAGATGAAGAGGCTGACAGGTAAACAAATTCAGTGTGGTTCTACTGGCCACAGAAGGGGCAGGACAGAGATGGAGAAATCACAAGCCTGTGCTTCCCATCAGGACATTTCCTGATGCAGGTGCAGCTTGGGCCCTGGCTGCTCTACAAGGCTGTATGCGCAGATATCTGTCCAGTTTCTGGGTGTGCTTCACATTTTATCAATTTAACTTATTTACAGCTGTTGTTACAGGTATTCAGACTGTATGGTTATTTACCAGTGTATTTAGATTTTGTTACTGAAACCATCAACAAAGCTAAGGCTGACAACCCTTCGAACTTAGGCTTAAGCTAAGGGTCACAGAATCATAGAATGGCCTGGGTTGCAAAGGACCACAATGATCACCTAGTTCCAACCCCCTGCTATGTGCAGGGTTGCCAACCAGCAGCCCAGGCTGCCCAGAGCCACATCCAGCCTGGCCTTGAATGCCTGCAGGGATGGGGCATCCACAGCCTCCTTGGGCAACCTGTTCCAGTGCATCACCACCCTCTGGGTGAAAAACTTCCTCCTAATTCCAACCTAAACCTCCCTGTCTCAGTTTAAAACCATTCCCCCTTGTCCTATCACTATCCACCCTCACAAACAGCCGTTCCTCCTCCTGTTTATCCTCTCCCTTCAAGCACTGGAAGGCCACAATGAGGTCTCTCTGGAGCCTTCTCTCCTCCAAGCTGAACAAGCCCAGTTCCCTCAGCCTTTCCTCACAGGAGAGCTGCTCCAGTCCTCTGACCATCTCAGTGCCCTCCTCCAGACCCGCTCCAAGAGCTCCACGTCCTTCCTGTGCTGGGGGCCCCAGGCCTGGACGCAGTGCTGCAGATGGGGCCTCACAAGAGCCGAGCAGAGGGGGACAATCACCTCCCTCTAAATTCACAATACAAATTTAGAAAACAGCATGTCCAGGCCAAGTTTTCCTTTACTATTCAATGTGAATCAAAAACATCAAATCTGAGCTTTATCTTCTTAAGTGCACCAGCCCTGCAAGTAGCTACACACACTGATGTTCCACACTGCAGAGCTGCTGCTCTGAGTGCTGCCCAGGTCTCAGCAAGCCTGGTGCCTGTAGGCAGTGGGACAAGAGCCCTGTGGCTATCTTTAGCACTGTGCTGGAGGCAGCTGTGAGCACAAGAGCTTCCTACTGTTCCACTAAGGGCCAGTGGCTTCTCTTCAGTGAGGGCCAGAGCAGCAGCGAGTCACAGTAGCATCGCCTGGGACAGAACACACACTGAGAACCGAGTGCATGCAGCCTCAGCATTGCTGGAATGGCTTGGGCCAGTCTCTCAGTTGCACACAGAATGTTAACAGGGTAGGCAGTTTCCACACTTAATTCCCCACCAACTCATTTTCCTCCATCCTTACTTGATCTTCACAGATTTGCCTACTCTTACCCTCCCTTACAGGAGTCTCCTTTCAACCCCTTATTGCATACTCAGTCCCTCCCACCTCCCTCCTCTCCACTCTCCAGACTGCCCTGATTTCTACAAAATCAGTCTCCCTCCTCTCCCCTCCTTAGCCCTCTTTCCCTTGCACCAACCTCCCTCCTCACTGACTCCCATTCTCCAGCCTCATCAGCCACCATAGGTAGCAGCAGCAAACTCTTTCCCTCTGAAGCAGCCAGTGGCAGCCCCACAGTGCCTGGAGCCACGCACTGGCCGGCCATAAGATTACACTCATTTTCCTCATCTCCCGTGCGGAGTCTGAACAATCACATACCTCAGCTATGTCCCACATTCCATCTCCTTGTACAGTTTGCACAGCACTTTTTTAGGCTACACAAAATATAGTATCTCTTAGCAATTTGTTTTTACAGGCATAGAAGAAGGTAACTTAAAAAAAAGATCATGAGGCTAAGTTCACTTCAAAATGTATGAAGAGCTTGGGGCAGAAATCCAGAATCCATATCTTGTACCATGACTTAGGATAAACTATGCCTCCTGATGGGTAAGGAGGAACAGGGCATGCCAATTATTCCTATGGGTGCTTTATGCAAGATAGATTACAGTAACAGTTAAGAAGCATGCATTTTATATCTAAACAAAACAAAACGATGCTGCAATTTATGTGCAATAGATAACTTTTATTTAAAAAAACATTGCAACTGACAGAGAAAACAAACTCCGTGAAAATCAAAGAGATGTATTTAAAGTAATTCATTTCTTAATCTCTGAGGTGATCATTGATACAGATACTTCCTGGCAAATAAAGTTCTGTAACATTTTCACTATAATGTATCTTGCAAAGTGATATTCAGGAGTTCCTGGCCAAGAGTCCTACCTTATTCAATGCCATATACAGAAGATAGATGTGTTTTCACTGGCTTCTCTTCCAGTATTTACAGCTCTGCTGTGAATGAGACAGGTCTGGATACTGATGACAGACTCAAAAATCTGCCCGGGGAGGAGTCCCATAAGAAAAGAACAAGTTATTTTATCAGTAATCCCTATAGTTCAAATTCAAAGAGGTGGCCAAAAGTATGCACTCCCAAGTGAAGCTATCACATACAGAACCACTTTTCTTAACACCAATGTATTTCTGATATCCCCGTTTCATAGATTAGAAAAAGACTAGCATATACAAAAATTTTATCATTTCAAGTTATTAAAAAAAAAAACAACCAAAACCCAGACCATTAAAACACACAGGAAAGTGTTCATTTGCATACAGTAGAAATACAATCCTCATTAAAGCAGCATATCAGAGACGCCAGTTGTTAATTATGTTTTTGATTAAAAAAGACAAAAGCCAAGCTGTTCTTTAAATGCAATCAGAACATTGGAGGAAAAGGAGAAACAAAACATTCATAGTCTGCCA